CACCCGCAGACCCCACCTCTGTCCCGGTGAGTTTCTCCAGCCAGATTTTCTTCGCGACGCTTTTCCCCGATGCTCCCCTTTCCGGACCCTATTCTAATGCTTGCATAGGAGGTTTTGCTGAGAACAAAGCAACAGCTTCATTCAGCAAACGTTCTGAAGTCTCGTGCCTCTTGCTGTGGGGAGATAAATGTGTGGTCGGTGATCACCCTGCCAGCTGGTCGAGGAAGCCGGAGAAGGGAGGCTGCTGTTGGCAGGTGGTTCATTAGATCAGAAATTTGGTTGTTTATCAGGTTCCAGGCCTTTCCCCCCTGTTTAACTCTGCTGGGTAGAATCTGTGTTTCTGTTACTATTAGATCTTCTGTGGTGATGCAGTGTATTATTAAGATGTTGACGTTTTCCTTATTCACAGGCTCATGTGTTTCCCAGTACCACGTGTACTTGAATAGGTTGCGTATGTTTTCAACAAAGTGTTGATAGCTTCGTGTGGAACTTCTCTGTGCGTTGTGCTGAGCTTTTATTGTTCTCCATGATACATAATGGAGATCAGCAGGAAATGTCTTTGGGTTTATCCATGCTTTGAATTTTGTCCCCAGAAKAAGACTGGGCCAAGTGACTACTGCCCCTTGATGATGTGTATCTACCTGTTATGAAGATGAAGGGTCCTTTTGAWGGTTGTGACCATTTCAAAAGCCTGTGTATGTCTGCATGTGGAGGAGGAAACACAGGAGGAAATTGCAGAGGTGTTTTGCTGATTTCTTTGTTTTTAAGACAGCTATGTCAAATGGAGCTGGATGAGCTTTGGTTATGAAATATGTGCTGTGGCAAGAGAATTGCCTGAGTGGGAAGGGAAAGATTCAAGGTGCGGAGGGAGATAAAAGAAGGGTGTGATTCCAAATTTGCAGGTATTCACTGACTCTCTTGGAGGATTGCCTATCTGTTCCTTTTAGATCTATGAACTCCTTTCACAGAATTTCATAGGGCAGACAAATGTATCTTCCATAGTACAGAAATGTAAAAATAACTATGTGAAAACCATGGTCTGAAGAGAAAATCATCTAGGGAACTGGGTCTTCACTCTCATGTGTTTTCAGGATATATGGGTGAAAGAACACCATGGATGTTGTGAAGGGTTGGAGATTTCAGTCCTGTGAGCTGTGCCTCAA